AGGGACCTTTCAGTAAAGAGAAATGTAAAACACATAATCATTATAATATTGTTTCATGATTATGTTCTTGTCAACAGAAACCACTTTCCCCAAAACACTACAGCATTGTAACAATGTGATTGACCAAGACATCAACAACAAAAACAACAATTATTACCAAAAAACAACAACAACAAAAAGAAGATGAATTAAGAACATATACCATACCACAGTATGCAGAATATCTCACAGAGATAGAAAATACCATAGACTTGTACCCCTAGACCGCGCATTGTCATGGCTGCAAAGTGTGCGCACGATGGGCCGCGCCATTACGCTAAAAATCATTGGCTAAAAGTCAGTCTTGCTCTAGTTGAGTGCATACATAGGTTTACACCCCCTCCCCCCTTTTGACCTTCATTTTGTTCAATTTGGCTCAAATACAGCGCTCTGTAGTGAGCCGAGAATACATCAGAGCGCACGGTCTAGGTTACGATACAAGCCTATGGAAAATACTCAATTTGCAAGGAGGCCAAAATGGGACAAACAGATGATATGAAAACTCTCAACTTAAAAAAAAATACAACAAAAAAACAAAAAAACAAAACAACAACAACAACAACAAAGATATGAAGGTATATAAACAAAAGTTCACAACATAATAATTCTCTACAAACACGACTCCAGGGAAACAAACGGTGAGGCAGAAAACACCACAACAAAAGGAGGACAACTTTTCACATTTCACAAAACTCTAGAATCTTCACTTCTGTCTAAACACATGGGACTAAAATGACAACTATTGTAATGAGGCATCGACAATGCGGTAAACAGATACTGAACAAAAAGTTCAAAGCCAGTTTGGTTTTTTTCGTGTGCATGCTGTTCAAATAAAGAGTGAAATTTAAAAAATGAAATGGTTTCTATTGTTTAGAACATTTATGGGACGACTTGCTGACAACTAACTAAACCATTTGAAGGGCACAAGAGAAAAACAAGAGATTTCAGTTTCTGGCTAATTTGAGCAGTGGCATTGATCTAAAAGTGTTTACACGCATCTCTTCTGGCCCATTCAAGTGTCCAGGGCTAAAACACGATGAATCGCCCAATATAAGGCTTGGGCACCAAGCTATACACTACTACTACTGTGTAAAAACGCGGGTTGTCAGGCTTTTTTTTTTCAGTTTTCATTTTCGATTTTCTCAAAATGCAAAAAGGTGACATCCCTTGTTTTTTCTTTGTGCCCTTAATTTCCAAAAAGAACATGTTGCTGACAAGAACACAGACACACTGCCCATTGTGTGTTGCTGACAGTACACAGACACACTGCATAATGTGTTGCTGACAGTATACAGACACACAAACACAGAGTGTGTTCCCAGTTACCTTCCATAAGGAACGTGTTACGAACAAATACACAGACACATTGTACGACACAGTGTGTTGCCAGTTATCGTCTAAAAGGAGGGCATTTCTGACGGTACACATACACATACACACACACACACACACACACACACTCACATGTTACTGACAGATCAGTACACAGACACGCTGCACAGTGTGTGTTGCTGACAGTACACAGACACACAAGCACATCTACGTGTCTCACTGACAGTACACAGACACACAAACACATCTATGTGTGTTGATGACAGACACACAAACACACAAATACATCTATGTCCGTTGCTGACAGTACACAGACACACAAACACATCTATGGGTGTCGCTGATAGTCCACAGACACATCTAAGTGTGTTGCTGACAGTAGTGTGTTGCTGACAGTACACAGACATCTATGTGTGTTGCTAACAGTACACAGACACACAAACACATCTACGTGTGTGTCACCGACAGTACACAAACACATGTACGTGTGTGGTCAGTTACCTGCCATCGTCCAGTCCGATCCCGCCGGAGAAGGTGAGGTCATCCTGCTGGAAGGACATGGAGGCGTGCACGGCGCCCGAGTAGATGGACACGGTCACGTGACTGTGGTACGGGGTGCCGCCCACTGCGTACAGAAGGACTCCGGAGCCACGGTCAGTCTGTGGGGGTAGTACAGAGGGAGAGGTTATGTGTGTGTGTATGTGTGTGTGTGTGGTGTGTGTGTGTGTGTGTGTGTGTGAGAGAGAGTGTGTGTGTGCGTTCGTGTGTGTGTGTGTGTGTG